CTAATGCATATGTGTGTCTGGTTTGTCATCTCAGTCTGTCTATGGGCTGCAGAATGACATCCGTACCCACAGTCCAACCCACACCCCGGTTCCAGAAGCCAAACAACCTACAGAAGAAGAGCTGCAGGACAAGGTTAGGTCAACGTGAATCCCTATACAGAATACAATAAATAATGACATATGATGCAAACTAGGGCTGCAACTAATGATTATTATGCAAATAGATTAATCTGTTGAATATTTTTTTGATAAATTGATTAATAATCAGATAGCCAAAGGTTCCTTAAAGTAGGTCTTTCCACTTCAGGAGTTGTGGAAAGAGCATATTGATGGATGAAAATATTTTTTTTGTTTTTAAATGCCAAATATTTCTATTTTTATACAATTATAAAATATATAAAATTATGTTTATACATAAATGTTTTTTTTTTTTTTTTTTAGAAATTTGGTATAAGTTCTGTTCTAAATGTGTTGCTCTGTCAGCAATAGGTATAGTTTACAGTATATTCTACTTAATGATTAAACATTTAACAAATTAGTTGAATATTATTTTAATAATCGATTAATCTTGCTTAATCACGATTATTCTGATTAAATGTTTCAGCCCTAATGCAAACCATCCGTTCTGTTAGTTTACTGCATACTTCTATGTCTCTTTTGTTTCAGATCACCTTTTGGCAATTACAGTTAGACCGGCATCGGCTGAAAATGTCCAAAGTGGCAGAGAGGTAAACATTATTTATTGCGTCCTCATTTATTTATGCAGCTTTTTTAACTGCTCTATGCACAGGAATCAAGAGCTTTGGTGACTCTGATGCTGGTTTAGATTCATATAACGTTTAATTTAGTTTGAAACATCTGGTTTCAAAAATATAGCACATTTTTGGTTCCTGTTTTGCAAATTGAATACGTCGGACATGAAGACGGAAAGTGATTTGAGAAAGAAAGAGGGTATAAGCGCTAAGGTGAGAGAGAAAGAGATAGAGACAGGAAACAGTGCAAGAAAATAGAGAGAATAAAGAAAAACAGCAAAAACAGACAACACAGAAGATATACAGTAACTCCTAGAGGTCTGCTTCCATACCTGTATTAGATGAGAGGTAGAGAACATAACAGCAAAAAGAAGACAACAGACATCCAAAGAAAACATTAAGAAAACGGTTCAAAAGCACCGGGCACCCCTTAGATATCCATGTGTGTTTATTTCAATCACTTTAATACATGTTTAAAGATTTCCCCTTTTATGATATTTCAGTTAATTTTCTATTTATGTTCTTTTGTTTGGAACAGTTTGCTGGGTTACACAGAGCAGTATGTTGAATATGACCCATGCCTCTCACTTCCTGATCCATCCAACCCCTGGATCTCAGATGATACCACCTTCTGGGAACTGGAAGCCAGGTAGCTACATGACCTCATCAAATATTCAGTTTAATATCTTTACCTGTTTGTTACGGCGATGTAGTTGTATCTTTTTTTTGAATGTCCCTGCTTTTTGTCTTCTTCAGTAAAGAACCAGGCCAGCAGAGGGTAAAGCGATGGGCGTTTGGCATTGATGAGGTTTTGAAAGATCCTGTTGGAAGAGAGCAGTTCCTCAAGTTTCTTGAATCTGAATTTAGCTCAGAGAATCTCAGGTAAATAAAAAAAAGTTAGAACCTCAACATAATATTCCTTTTAGATTTGATCAAAATGTTGAACTTATTTGGGAATCGGCTATATTAATATATTAACCATCGTTATCTTTACACAGTACAATGAATTAATCAGCTAGAATTAAAAAAGCTCAGGACTTGTTCGAAAGCCGAGCGATTTATCGCCTTAGGACATCTTTGCAGGAGTTAAACAATGTTTTGTTATGAGGAAAGTTTTTGTGGTTTTAGGACATTTAGGTTTCAGGATGTTTAGAGCCACCATCATCAACTGTTTAAAAGGTATGTTAACTTAATGCAATAGAAATATACACTAAATCTGAATTTTAAGATGTTAAACGAAATATTTTTTAATGTATTAAAATATATTATTCTTCTACGATATGTTTTCTCTTCCATTGCTTTCTCCAGTCAAAAATGAATAACTGTTAGTAGAAAGCATACAATGAGACAAGCATAAATGAATGCCACATTAGCTCCCTCTGATGGTATGTGCCTGAACTGTCCCTCTTAAATACTGATACTAATTCCCCCCAAAACTTCATTGTAACTTTTTATCATTATTTTAAATGTGATGCATTTAAAAAGTGTTGTAATAGCACCATGACCAGTTTTCCTTAAAAAAAGTGTTGATTAACCTTAGATTGACCAGTTTAGAAGACAATTGAGGTCTTATGTTGTGACATAAAATTAAATGCTCCCTGATAAGTAGAAGCAATAAGTAGTTATTCCCACACTCTGTGCCCTCCCACAAACCTGCTAAAATGTATGATCTTGAAGCTACCAAAGCAAGTGCCAAGACATCAGTATGAGTATGAGTGTTGTTTTTCCTGCTTGCTTTGTTTTTCAGGTTCTGGCTTGCAGTCCAAGAACTAAAAAAGCGCCCTATCAGAGAGGTCCCAACTCGTGTTCAGGAAATCTGGCTGGAGTTTCTGGCCCCTGGAGCACCCAGTGCCATTAATGTGGACTCCAAGAGCTATGGGAAAACCACTCAGAATGTAAAAGATCCTGGACGGTATGCCTTCGAAGATGCACAGGTCAGTTATTAAGTAACTAATCATACTGGTAAGACAAATTAGTTAAATACTAATATAGAGAAATAGAAACTTTGTCCTTTGATATTAAAATAGAGTATTATTTATCTGTAAGTGTAGCTTTTAACCTTCAGATTTCTCATTCTGTTACCTCAACAGGAACACATCTACAAATTGATGAAGAGTGATTCTTATAGCCGTTTCATTCGTTCCAGTGCCTACCAGGAATTATTACAGGCCAAGAAGAAGGTAAAAAACAAACTTAAATCCTGATTTAAAACATTAGATAAGATCTAGAAATGATATTAAAAGACTAGATGGACAAAATACTTAAAAACTAAGTTGTTTTAAAAACTACAACTTAAAAAACAAAAACAAATATTAATTCAATAGAGAGGTGGCAGGTGCAACAAAAGTATGTTTTTTTAAGGGGTGATTGTTGTAGCTGAGTAGAACTGATGTCAAGCTATTTGAAAATACTGAAAATAACAAAATAGGTAAACATGTCAAACATGACAGTTAGTCTGGCAGTGTGTTAATGGGTTTCAAACCTCCTACACTTTCATTGCTTGTCATTCTGGCAAAGGTTTGAGCTTTTTAATAAAAAAAGAAGAAAACACATCACTGCCAGAACATGTATCTAATAAAAACTGGTGTTACATTTAGTTTTCATTTGCTTTTTTTTTTTGTCTCCCACAGAAAAGTAAAAATTTGTTCTGAAGTCTCTTGCTTCCAGGTAACGTATCATATCCTTTTATTTAGCTGTGGCCTATGTACTGTGTTCTGATGTCTCCATAAAATATAATGTATACATCTATCCAGTTACTCTACTATAAAATCAAACAGCTTAGAATATTATGATATGTCTATAAATGTATAAACACTTGTCAATTTGATTGCTCTCTTATTTAGGGGTTGAGACAGCAGGTGATACAACTTAACCAGGCAACTGATTTTGAAATAAAGATAATGTGAATGTTGTCTTTAGCATCTTTAAAATACTATTATGTGTATATTTAATGTTTACCTTAGTGCATTGTGTTACAGAAATAAAATTTTCATTTATATTCTAAAAGACTGAGCATGAGTGTTCATACTATTCTAAACTTGAAAGGAAATGAAAAAAGCTTCCACATTTCCAAAGCCAGCATGTTCCAGGACATTCTCCAAATTGAATTTTGAAGATTTAGCTGAAGAGGAGTACTTGTCCTCTCTGACGTTTAACTGCTCTTGTTAACTCCTTATTAAATAGAGTGGCTGAAGCTACTTGTTTTATTATAGTTGTTGGCTATGCTAAGATAACTAAAATTACATCATTGGTTGTTTTTTGTAATTGTAATGACCGCTGTTTGAGAGATCATATTGTGGAACTAATAATAATTTACAAAAAATAAGAATGAGAATATGCACACATATGTAGCAGCTCTTGCTGTAGCTGCAAGGAACGGTTGCACAGAGACTTATAATTATTCACTAGAAAAAATTACATAAGTAATTTTTTCTTAAAATAAGTGCATTTTTTCTTGAATTTAGGAGTGAAGCAAGACACTTTGCCAATTGAATAAGACAATTTACATTTAAAATAAGAAAAAAATAATTTATTGTCTTATTTCAAGTGCATATTATCTAATTATCTTACTTTAAGAGTAAATATCCTCGTCCCATTGGCAACTAGTTCTTTTTTACCTACTCAAATTAAGGGTAAATACACTTAATTTAAGACATTTTTACTTATTTCTAGATCGTTTTTGCAGTATTAATGGGATATTCTGAGGTCTGTAATAACAAATAGAATAAAAGGCACAAAAAATCCCCATGTCTTTGCCATCCCATGTCTTAAATCAGATGGCAAAGAGGTTTCCCTTATTTTGCTGAGGAATTTGCAACCCTGAGTGGAAGAATCAATTAATTAGCAGCATTACGTTTAATCAGCTAGCAGAGATGATTCAAGAAGATTGATTTTCTAAGTATTTGCAAGCAGCTCATCAGGTTCCATTTACAAGATATTTTTTTTGCTTCATTTCCTCTGAATATATATATTTGGTTTATGTGATTTTGGGTCCTTCTCTGCTGGGTCACTTAAGTCATTACTTAATTATACTTACCATACCTTAAATATTGGCTTCAAAAATCAAACATAAAGAAGAAAATGTTTCCCGTATTATAATTGGAATACTTTCTTTGTTGAAATTCAAATGTCCTTTTTCCTTTTGAACACAGGAGGAACCACTGGCAGACAAGAGACTGTAAAGTTGTGTGCCATGCTAAAAATCAATGGCTTTCCTCTCTCTGGAGCATGGAGAAGGGGGGCCATCACATCTCATCATTCTCGTCTCTCATCTGCTATTGGCTTAGCCAGACGATGAGCCAAGCTGCCTGTCCGTCTGTTGTCCAGAAGATGTTGCATGTCCATCGAGAGGATGTTTCAGCTCCTCTCTCCTCTTTCAGTACAGTTATATTTCCGGTGTTTCCAAAAAGAAGACGCAGTTGGACTTGTGAGGGGAGTGAGAGACTGTAAAACAAAATGTTGGAAAGTTTGAAATGAGTGCTCCAGTTCTTTCCATCGCAGCTACTCAACTAGGGCCCTTTCTCTCACTTCCAGCAGAACCAAATGATGTCAGAGAGAAATGAGAAAAATACACTTAGAAAAAGAACCCAGTAAAAAAAACAGCTTACACTGATAACTTTAACCAATGTCATTGCTTTACATGAGGTTACAAAAACTTTGTCACGCTATGGGAAGTGTTGTGCAGAATGAATATACAAAATATATATACATATATATTATGATTCTGATTATTTATTGTGCATTTAGGTTGCTTTTTATGATTTGGTTGCACTACAATATTTAGCACATATGATTCTCATTGCACCTGTAAAGTCTCATTCAGATTTACAAAGATGCCGTCTCCGGTCGTACGTAGAACTTCATTCTTTGTTATTCTCTCCTGCATTTATTTTTATACCATATTTAAAGACACTTTTACTTACTTGTATTAATAAAGTTGATCCTCTATCTGTTACAACAGTCTTTTTGTGTGTTTTTATCGGTTTAGTTTATATTTATCCTCTGTGAGGCTCTTTCTGTTTTCTTTAGTGTAAAAAAACTTAAGGAGCCTTGTTTAGGTTTTTTGCATTATTGCAGTCTAACACAAGAGGGCGACAGGTTATTTCTCCATGACTTAGGAACCTTACCATCTCCACAGATCTGCAAAAATACAGATAAATGTGATTTTGTCATGCAAAAGTGCCATCATCCTGTGGCCCTCTGAAAAGGGCTATTGTTCAGATGTTAGCCCTCTGATGTTTTGCAGGGTCTGTTGATGTTTCAGCTCTTTGATGGCAGAAGTGACCGTCTGTGTTTCCACTGTCTGTGCCCGGCAGTCAGTTTAGCAAGAACCACAACACAGACAAACATCTTTGTCTTGGCTGCATCAAGGAATGTGAACTGTGGCGTTTTTCAAAGCACGCTCTGCAGATATGCATTCAGTGATTTATGGGCTGGAGGTTATGAGACTTAATGTGATGTGGTTCCACTGTCAATGGAAGGGTTGGAAAAGCCATTGTTTTTTTAGCGTCCCTGATTTTATTGTCTTGACGGGCTAAAGTCTAACGGAGGATGTAAAAGTTACAAAGATATGGTAACATAACCAGCCTTTTTTTTATGTTTTACCAATAAATGGGTGGAAAATGTGTCATATTAATGAATATAACAAAAGTAATATTAATTCATTACATAATGGAAACATTTTTACATGTTGTTGTATATAAAAGCATGCCCATGTTGTCATGCAGCATTCACAGTTTTGCAGCTGGTATTAAATTAGTGAAATGTTAGTTCTAATTCTCATATACAGTAGATGATTTGCATATAGACTTAAAATCTCTTTTTCTGTTGTCTAATCTAACCAGATTTGATTAATCTAACGAGAGCACTGAGGTCCATGTTAACGACTTGTAAATTAGAGTTTTTATTATGAAGGCCAGATTGGCAGAATATTCAACTTGTGGTATTTCTGCAAATTCTTTTTGTTCTTGCAATAGATTTTGGACTGAAAAGTTATCCATGAAAAATATCTTCTTCTTCTACACAATTATGCATTGATTATTTTTGGGTTATTTTTCACAAAATCTAATAAAAGTAAATCAAAGCTTCGATTGCAACATGATAAAGTTCGTAAAACGAAATAAATTGTTTTTTGCATACGCTGATGCTTAGATATTTTTATCTAGACAGTATTGTCTTTCATAGATAAGATGTCTACTTACAGATAGACAGAATAATATTCAAGAAAGCAAAGAAATTCTGTTTGACTCCTACAATGAACATGGCCAATAGGAAATTACCCTCCCAGTTTTGAGAAAGGAGGTGGGGTGCAAGGGATTCAAGCTAAGGCAGACTTTACAGTGACTCAAACTCTCCCAAAGACAGAGTGCAGACAGTCGCCACAGCACTAAGAAGGGCTTACTGTGACTGAACTGCAGCTTTTCTTGTCATCCTAAAACCAAAAACAGGAGGAAAACTTAGAAACACTGAAAAAGACAGATGGGGTGCTGCAGCATTCCTAGGACAATGGAAAACTGAGTTTCAGCCCTTTTTCTGTATTTAGTGTTAAAGCAAAAGTTGCAAGAACAGACTGGAGGATACAAGAGATTACATTACCATGGAAACCAAAAGCTGGAAGCGGACACAAGGACCACTGGAGGTGGACGATCTTCCCTGAAGGCATCAGCAGAGATTGCTATCTTGCTGCACACTGTAGTAGGAGGTAAACTGATGTTTTTTATTTGCTTTGGGGAATAATAAATATGTAAATTTAAAGGTTAGATGGGTGTTCAACAAAGCAAGATGAAATCACTTCTTAAGGAAGTGAATATTGCCTCTTAAATTTAAATAACTTAAAGATTAATAGTTTATTTTTATCAAACATTTTATTGAAATTACATATAGACGAGGCAGCAACATTTTAAATCTAAGATGTTTTACAGAGCCTTCAAGGACACAGCTACATCACAACTTTCAGAGTATTGAGTAACAGGACTTCACACTGAGTTCTGCTTTTAATATTCTCATGTCTATGTGAGAGAGTGATTCACTGAGCTTTTGGGTGACTAAGCACAGAATCATGTATTTGGAACAGCACACATTTTGCACTTATTCCATATTTCTGGATCAAATCCCATCAGGGCCACTCAGTGTAAAGAAAAAAAATACACCTGTAAGGCACTTTAAGGTGTCCCTTGGATAAAAGTGTCAACTGAATTACTATAATTAGTGGCTGGAGGTTGTACATAATTAGTGTTGTGAGGTAGAGAATTAGAGAGTGATGACAGAAAGTTGTACTGTGTCTCTTAAAGAGATTAAAAGTATTTTCTTGAGAGCTAAAAGAAGAGAATAAGACGTAAAAATGAACCTAGCAAACTTGTACTTCTGCTTGTTTAAACAGGTGTATATTTACAGTATGTCTGGGTCCATGTTTAACTGTATGTGTGCTAACATGTATCTAAACGTGTGAAAATGTAATTGTGGGTAAATATGTGTTGCTGTTGTATGTGTGCAGTGAAAGGTGGGAAGTTTGTTCTGTGATCCTGCTAACAGCTCTGGTGACTTCAATTCCCCTTTTACAATTTGCTTAGATATCAAATAGGATTTTAAATGCAGAAAAAATGCTGTTTCTTAAGTGACAAATTCTTTAGCAACCCCATTTTAGACAAAAATACCTAAAAAAAAAAGTAATGTTTAAGCCTTGTAAATCAAAAGGGATAAGCTAAGGCAACATATTTAAAGCATCAGAATAAATCCCAAAATAATTTACAACATTAAGCAAATATGGTTCTAAAGAACTAGTATGAACTTCAGCATGTGGCTGCTTGTTGGTTCATTAGTCACCGCAAATTAAGGCCCCAAAGGCAGGTTTTAAGGATTGACATAAGCCTCATAAAATGTACTTTTACTTACATCGGACCTTTAAAATGAGAGAGTAAAGTTTATGGGTGTTAAAGAAAAAGACCTTTTTTTTTCATCTAACATTAAAATAAAAAAAAAAGGGAAACAATTTTTAAAACAATACAAAATTAAAGAGCTTATATATACATATTTTTTTTTTTTTTACCCCATTCTGTTCTAGTTTGTTGAAACTTAAAGTGTACTTTATTTGTTTCGTCCCAGAGGCTGAATATTGCACCTTAAAAGGAAATTACATATGATTGTAGCGGATTGTTGCAAATAACAAAAAAAAAAAAAAATTCTAATTGATTGATTGATTCTAATTATTCAGTTGCCACTGGTTTAATAAAATAAGAAATTTAAAAAGTGCTTAAAAAAGACTGAACAGTAACTTTCTATGAACAGTAACTCTCTATTCTATATGTACTACAGCCATACTGGATTAACTCAGCTGGCTCTGATTTTACCAGTAGAAGTTCTAACTTCATGAGGCATTTTGTTGCTATTTCAATAAGGAAGTCAGCAAGTAGAATTTTATAGTAAAAAATTACAATTAAATGAATTTCAATGGTATAGTAGGAAGAGCAAAAACACAGACAATACTTGTCAAAAAATGCTGATGTTCTTTTTTTTAGCATCTAAACAAGAATGTCCACTTATCACAAAAGTAGCGATGGTAAAGTTTACAGAATTATTTTGATTTTGTAAGTATTTATATTGTAGGGCATATACTGAGGAGAAAGATCTTGCACTCTATGTTTAGTATAATTTACTTGTAATTCATTTCTTTAAAAATTTACATCTTGAAAGAAAAAAAAAATAAAACAAAACTTGAAACATTATTATTGGGTCAGAAAAATAATTTCAATTAATTTCATTGCTATTTAGATAGAAATTCAGGTTAGATGTTTGAATCATAATAATAGCACACACATATTAACACATATTAGCTTCCTGTTCTAATGGGTTAGACTCAAAAATCTGAGCTAACCTTTTCTTTCAACTGACTGAAATGCCGAGCAAAAAAAAAAAAATAAAGTTTTTTTACAGGATTTCCAAAGATTTTGGCTAACAAATTTTATAAATGCTGTTCTTTAAAATAACTGCTGTGGTTTCCTCATTTAATATAGAAATCGTTATATGTAAAATGTTATGTCCAACTGCCTTCACTTTCGATTAAAGTATTTTCTATTGCTGAGGTGAAACAGGCAGTTTTTATTCTTGCCACTACTTGTTTCGTAAGCATTAGATCTGGCCTCAGAGTCATTATTAAGACGAATTGTGATGACAAATGGCATCCCAGAGTGCCTAAAGCAGCCTTCTGGCAATGTTGGAATTAGACACATTTACATAGCGAAGTCCCCCCCCCCCCAATTAGAGCCTCAAACCACCAACTGTCAAGAAGCCAACAACCAAGTGTAGTTTGGGAAAATACAATCCACAAACTCAGATAATGACACGGTTCCTTTTTGTGTAATTGGTTCAGGGTGAAAACATTTAATTTACCTCTCTGTCCTGTGTTTTTTTTTTCTATGTTGTACATCCTGTGTATGTGTTTAAGTCTGTGTGTGAGATAGCAAGCATGTGGTTCGATATTGGTGTGTGTGGACCTTTGTGCATGTGTGGCTAGCCATGAGTGATTGAGGTTTGTGCTCCACGGTGAATTAAATGCAGTTCTACTGTAATTAACTGCACTTACCAGTCTCTGTGAGAGACTTTCTGACGCACCAGTAATTGAGGCATCATGTTTTGTTTGTTTTAACCTGCCTTTGAAGAAATGCTGGGAAGACGTTACACATGGTTTAGAGGAAATACATCTGTGTGTACAAATCTGAAAGACTTTGAAAAGCTTCTCTTCATTCTATGATGTACCATTCTAGTATTTAGAATATTCATACATTCAGAAACCAAGCCAGATCTGCAATAATAAAAAAAAAAAAAGAATCCATTCTTTTCCAAACAGAAACCTTCAGCATGGCATTATCATACCATTCTGAAAAATAAAACAGCATGTGCCCCCTTATAATAGATGTTTAAAAAAAAAAAAATGAAGGTTTGTGCGGAGCTCAACAGTCTCTCTGGTATTTGTAATTTCATTAGAGGGTTGAATTTTGGAACCAAGGTCTGCCACAGTTCAGTGAAGCAAATCCAAAGAATTTGTGGTTCTGGTAAAACATAAAGCTGTGTTTGTGCACAATATTAGCATTTAGCAGACAAAAAAGGCCCTGCTTAGTTTTGTCTAAAGATTAACACTCTAAACCACAGTCTCCTTCTGTCTCGAGGGCCACTTGATGGCTAGCGTCAAGGCGGAATGTAAAGGCAGGCTGCTTATGGAAAGCCGGGTCTTGCAACATCCATTTCATCCGAGAGTTTTTGGTTTGATTTCCTGGAGAATCGTATGTTCCCCAATAGTTTCTGAATCCCCATAGTCTAAAATCCACATTTCTATTTTTAGAGAGAATGATGAGGATACAGAGCCAGTATCCGCTGTCCTCCAATAGGTTTGAGAGTAGAAAGGAAGCTGAGCCAGTAACTGTACTTTTCATTCATCATCTTCTTTGTAAATGGTTAATGCACTCCTTAGTCACTCCTCAGTCTTTTCTGAAGTTATTTGGATAGTCCAAAAGTAACAGGGTATCTCTTTAAGAGGACAGGAAGAGAGAAAACAGAGTGCATGCAGATATTGGTCCCTGGCCAGAGGAGTTGCTGTATTTAAACTGACAGTCATCAGTGAAGAGGTTTATGGAGATTTGTCAAATAAGACTTCTGTAAAAAGGAGGTGCATAACTGCGAGAAAAACTGAGGAGAGAAAAAACTAAGACAAAGGAGGCCAAGACTCCTTAATACATTGGGTGATGAGAGTGACCAACAGTTGAGCTTGCCCTTAAATTAACTGAAACTCTTCACTGGTATTTGAGTTTGATATCCTAAGGGAAAAAGAAAACCTCAATATTCATGTAACATCTCCGAAAGATATAACCAAACAGCTGCTTTGTAGCTTATGGAAAATACTTCATGGAATGTTAAAGACTTCCATTCTCAAGCTGCTATTACCTGAAGATCAAGAGCAAAACAAACAAAGCCTTGAGAACCAAAGCGGATTGTGATAAAATAATTCGGACTAAGATGCAGGTCCAAGAAAGGCGGGCACAAGAATTTGCACAGCAAAGCAGAGTTTGTGAGGAGCAGCAGCCGCCAATGTCCTTGAGGCAGTTTGGTTCCACATCAGAAATTCTGATTTGATGTCATGCAATGCTTGTCAAGAGCAACATCTGCTGAAAAGATGCTTGAGTGATGGTCAAAAATGTGCTGGCACAAATACTGACAGCGCGCACAAAGGCGGATACTCAATCCCGAATGGCAGAGAGATCATTTTTCCAGATCAGGCCCTAGTATGATACATAGTGGCATTTATGGAGACCATAGGTCAATCTTAGTTCAGGTTTCTCCACTGTATATCACCAAAGAGTAAAAAAGAGTGGACTCCCATAGGGAAACTGTACAATCCTTCAAGTCTTCCTCTAATAACATGCAGATGGGCTTCTCTAACGCCTGTTTACATATCTGCGGCATAGTTCATGAGTAAAGTAAGCAAAGGCCTAATTATTTTACTCAGCGACGGGACCAATAAAATCAACTTCCCCTTCTCATTATGGGTGTTTAAGTGTATCCTTTGATGGCCAGGTTTTGTTTATTTTGGTAAGAGTTGCAAAGCCGAGAGGAAAGCAAATAGAAGTAATGACACAGAGATGCTGACAAATGGGGGCCATGGTGATGGATTCATTTTCTGAATGATGCCTGCAGGGCAGGACTGCAAAAAGTGGGAGAACTTTAAGCCCCCAAACCTCCAAATATATTCGGTAAATAAGTGACTGCTTTATCTCATACTTCTTTACAAACAGAGCTTGAATGAAAAGTTTTTTTTCAGTTTTCAAGTGAGGCTCTGTTATAAATGAGCTGTTAATATCTTACATTGAGAACGTAACTCTTAGTTTTTTCCTTAGGTGTACAGTATTGTTTTACTGTACTACTAAGGAAAAAAACTAAGAGTTGATTACAATGAGACCAAAAAACTAAAAGTAAAGGAAACTACAGTTAAGTCTACATTATAATGCTTTTCTGGTAATTACAATTACTCAAGAGTGCTATGACATTAGGGCTACATTTACTCGCTCACATAAATAATGATGCCTTCATACGATGATACTCTCTGGTGGGCAACATGGAGAAATCGGTTTTAAAGAAACTAAGCTTAAAGCAAACCTGCAACCTTAACAAGAGAAAGCTTTTGTGAGCAGCAGTGCCAAGTTCAGAAGGGCCCATAGACAGAAACAGAATAATACCCTCTTAAAACTCTACTTTTAAAAATGTCATGGCATTTATAAAAACAATGTTTAACATACCTTTAATTAGTTGCCCTCTTGTTATAATGAAGGGCTATTTAAACAGAACTAAGTTTTGATTTATGCATGAAATGAAGGTCTGGGCTGGTACATAACCAATAATCTTGAGTGAAACATTTAGCTAGAACATGCAAAGCATTTGCAGCTAGAATAACAACCTAAAAGAGAGGTGGAGGTTAAATAAAATGGTTTAAAATTTTCTGCAGTATAGTTTACAATTTTTCAGTAATGCTGCACTTATACCTCAAGTTGTAAAGTTTTTTTTACAGGCATGTAATTTTTTTTTGCATCATACACCGAAATCGATTTTTTTTTTTTTTTAACTGTGTAGATATGGCAGAAATGTTCAGGCTTACAAAATTACATTGTGAGATTGTACTTATTTTAGGATGGCAGGAGACTACTATGATCTTGGTTTCTCTCAGATACAGGTGTTACCTTGGTTTATTTAATTGATTCTACTCTAAACGACTCAATAATCGTATCTGAATTATTTAAGTTAAATAGGTTGCGATTGTTGATCATCACCACCCCAACTCCTAAAAAATATAATATTTAAAAAATATAAAAAATATAATATTTAACTTCAATTTACCGATTAGAATCAAGTGAGTTTGATCATCTCCGTCTTCAATCTTTCTGGTCAGTCCAGTATTTCGCCTTGTGTACTTAGCAGCAACCCATAATAAAACGCATGTGGGCCAGGTTAATTATGGCCCCAGGTCATAATGTCTGAGTCCCTATGATGATTTGAATGATGATTTAACCTCCGTAATTTGATAATCAATCAGTTCGTCTCACATGGTTGGCATTGGATTCAGTGTTAAAGGTCAGCTAACCTAAATTTATGCGGAATCAAGAGTTAGTCCTTTTAATACATATAGAAATGTATTTTTTCTCCTGCCACATTTCATTGTTAAAATTCTCCCTTTTTACAGAATGCTGTGGAGAATCACCATCCCCATCTTCCTTGCTGGCTTCTTCTGCATCACTGCAGAGGCCAGAAAGCTCCGTCCCCAAGGCTCAATACCGTCACCACACAAGACTAAAGGAAACCTGTCTGCAGACCACCCCCACAGACTTTTGCAGCAGAAACCAGAAGTCCTGTCCTCCAGCCGAGAGGCCCTGGTTGTGACTGAGCGACGTTACCTTCGAAGAGACTGGTGCAAAACTCAACCCCTTCGGCAAACAATCAGTGAAGAGGGTTGCCGCAGCCGCACTGTGGTCAACCACTTCTGCTACGGCCAGTGCAACTCCTTCTACATTCCTCGCCATTTGGGTCCCAGTTTGGGTCATGGACAAAATCGAGGCCAAAACTCAGGCTCTGGAAGAAAGGGTCACAATAAAGGCCAAGAGCCCTTCCAGTCCTGCTCCTTTTGCAGACCACATAGTATCAAACAACTCACAGTGCAGTTAGACTGCCCAGATCTGCAGCCCCCCTTCAGACATCGCAAAGTGCAGAGAGTCAAACAATGCCGCTGCATGTCTGTGGATGTAAGCAGTCATGGGAAACTGTAAAGGACTGCCTTAAAAGAACTGTATTTTTTGCTGTCAGATTCATTGCCAAACTCAGGGCAGACGACTGTCCATTATTATCAAGCTGTACTAAAAATGGTTCGTTCCATTAAAACTGAATGTAGAACAGCTGTTAGACAGTCCAAGTGATGATGATAATACAGCAGTATGGACGTAGTGAGGACCATACTTCATTTCCCAGTTGTAACACATTTTAAATGAAGGGGAGATATCTTTTGAAAGTATACAAGCTTATTGGACACATGATAAACATGCTGACCAATGTGTCATTAAAAATTGTATTTTCTGAAAAGTGCAAATAAGTTATTTTACTACAGATGAATGGACTGTTCCATCACCGATTTTCCCTAGGGTTCAGTCCCACCATTACGTCTCATGAGTTTTAACCCAACAGGTTATATGTGTGGCTTTAAGTCATGCAGACTCAAAACTTGGTTCTAGGTTGAACAAAATGGACTGCAGCATGTGGAATATTGGTTCCATGGTATATAAACAATATATTATTATATGTATGTGTGTAAGTATATTTGTTTAAAATATATTAAATCTATTTCATATAAAAAGTCACTTTAGAGTGCATGCAATTGTCTATGGACTATGTTAAATAATCAATATTTCCAATGCAAATGTATATATTTGGTTTTATTCAATAAATATTACCTTTTATATGCATTGTTATTTAAAACAATTCTGGCATTGCTTATAAAAAGAATCTCATCATGATCCTAATGCTGGTTATGTAAAGGAATTTTCTCTGAAAACATGGGAAAGGTAAATTACATGCATAGGATTGCACTCACAAGAATTATTAATAAAAGAAATGCTGTTTAACAGGAAAAAATACAACATACCATGTGGATACTGTATGTGACTTTTAACAAGAAAGGGAGTAAAGGAGGTGCTATTTATAAACATTTTAAACCCTCACCAGTTTCTGACACATGCGGGAACTAAATCCAGACATCTTTAAACCTGTGTAAAAATTATTCTTTTCTTAATCATGTATGTTATTTGACAGTAAGATGTTTGGGAAAATAAGCCCTGTTTTACATGGTTCATTTGCTACCTCCACAATTCAATAAGGCACTTTTTTTTTTTTTTAAAGAAATCAAGATTTTGTGCTTTTCACCACACCAGGATGCATTTTCTGTATACACATATGGCAGGAAAATTTCACACAAAAGTGGGAAGACAATTATACCAAAGTTTAAAAAAATGTATTAAAAATTTACATTTTATAATTAAGCCCATGGAATTGTTTTTCTTTTTCATTTTGATCAGAAAATGTTCTATGAAGACATCTCTAAAACAATGTAGGTGTTTTCAGACAAACTCATTTTTTAAACTTCTGAAGCCAGATCTTGTCAGTGCAAAAATCTTCGAGATGATTATCCTTTTTCTTAATTCAGATCTTCTTACCCAGCTTTGCTTTCTGTGAAATGCAAAAAACAGGACTTTGTTATTATCATTTAATAACCTTCAAATTCCACATACAGAAGGACATTTGTAGGCAACAGTCTTTCAGGTGAGATAATGGAAAGAAAGAGCAGAAAGGTGGGGAAAAAAAAGCCTAACATACTATTCCAGTTGCGTTTTTGGTTGTAACGTTATAGGTGGCCTTCTGCCTGGCCTGTTTGAAGCTCTCCTCTGCCTTTTTCACCCTGAAACATACAAGCAGTGATGGCTGATTCACAATAACATCAAGGGCAGATAACTTTAAGGACACATGCATTCACACAGCTTATTATCAGAAAATTCAGCTTGTTGTCATGTTAGGTTTCAAAGTAAAAAACATGGTTTGTCAAGATGTCTTAGTTCCAGCATTACAAAGCAGCAGAGAAAATGTAAGCATATAAACCAGCAAAAGGAGAACTGGGTTGATAGCCTGTGGCAAACAGCAAAAAGTTAATGCTTTCAAATTTGTTTTAATTCTTTCCTTCTGAAAAAGCAGCGCCCCATGTCATTCGACTCCTCTTTTAAGCGTTATCACAATTTAATCTTTATTGAAAATAATGGACCGATTTACTGTTTGTTGACTTAAGCAACAACATCTTTATATCCATCAAACCACTGGAGGCCAACTGGAAGGTGCATAGGTGCATTTGTTTTGGAGTGACCACAATGATTATGGTCACTTAGGCTCTTTTTCTCCTTATGAATTTGAATGAATCTGATATTATCTTTACTCAGCACGAGATGGGCTGCAAGTTATTAAAGAAAAGGCTGAAGATAAGAAGAATAGAATGGGACAAAAAAGCTGAATCTATAATGACAGTCTAAAGCCAAATAAATTTAAAATGATAATTAGCTCTAGATTTTGGGGGGAAAAAATGCATTTCTGGAGTGCTATGCAAAAGTATTCATATGCCTAATATATATATATATTTTTTTTTTTTCCATCATAAGCTTATAGAGTTTAGAAACCTTTAATGTGGTCAGCTTTTAAAGCTACATAAGAATCTGTAATTTAAATATACATTGACAATAATATACTGTTAAAAGAAAATGGTCCACTCTTTGGTGTTTTCTCGCCTCTTAAAGTTTATCTTTCAGGAGTGTGTTGTATTTATAGTTATTCTTTTCATCACTCTTGTCAAACAGTTAAAAGATGTGCTTAAATCTACAAAGTGTAAATTTCAGCGACATCTAATGGTCTCACTGCAGCAGCATCACCCCCTCCACTCCAAAAATACAGAGGCTGTTAACGTACAAAAAGCTTTGCCATCGTTGCGTTACACCTACATTAGACCGCAGCATCAAGCTTTTAAAAAAGCTGTTTTAATTTAGCTGCAGAAAGATAGTTTTGTTTCCGACCTCCAGCACAGAGATAGACCAGCTGCTGCTTCTCTCATCTTGCTCCACCTCTCACTCCAGCTGCACACCTCCTCGTGATCAGTGGCTCACCGCCCATGTCCAGAAGTTAGCCTCTAGATGCTAGCCTTGGCCTGCTGTCGTTTCTTTCTGCTCTGTCTCCCTGGCGGCTCCTTCGATGTCACTCCACAACCTATGTCCCCTACTTCTCATTGCCTGCCGGATTAATCCGATCTCCTGCCATTCTGCTTTGATCCTCCACAATTAGTCCAGACCTGCTGTAGCCTCTTCTGGGCCAAAAGTGCTGTTTCCCAGCAGGCCACTCCCAGCTGCCACCGTGCTCCTGATCCCTCTTTGCTGCTGAGGTTCGTTAGCTCCAGAGGACGGCATAGCTGGCCGGCTCGTCCTGGTTATGGAGCTCTCTCTCTACTGCTGTTCTCAGACTGATTCTCTGCTGCTCCTGCCTAAACTCAGGAACGCTGACTCCCCTTACCTCTGTTGTCCAGGTGATTCTTTTCTCTGTATTGGGCACTCTGACCAAAATAAACATGGACCGAGGGCAGGGAAAAGATGCGAGTCCGCTCAGAAAAACAAAACAAAAATGCAACATTGGGTGATTTAAAGCGGTCGTCTTCATAATACCCGGGTTGGTGTAAGTCTAGTTAACATGGTTAATTTTATGAATATTATTTTATAAAAATAGTATTTCTGTGTAGGATTGTATATATAGTCAATAGTTTGTCAGCTCTGTGCTGCCATAGCGCAAAAGATGTCGTCCTCCACGAATCCAAACCTACTCCAGTGTAATCATAAATAGCAATTTCTAAGTCAAGGCAAACAAAGATTGAGACTTTCAGTTCATAGGTAATAACAAATGACATATATATAGATTATATATACCATTTACACCAGTAAGTCCCTGTAATTATTAGTGTTGCGGCAATGCCATTTTTTGGCCCTGATACCAATACCCGATACAGATACCATCTGTTTGAAATTTATGTATGTGTGCATATACATGAAGAACTGCATACTACTTGGATGTAAAATAATTGTCATCATAGCTTTGTCAAGCTGCTGCCTACCTTTGTGAAGCAGGAATAAAACTAATACAAAGTGAATCCAATAGAACTTTTTATTGCCTACCACGAATGGGTGACAATAGTTGAATAAACTTTTGTCTCTCAAAATGGTATCGGTGCCCTATTTTTTGGTACTCGTCGATAACGGTACCACCATTTTAATGCAGTAACAGGGCCCTGCCCGATACCAGTATCATTGCAACACTCAGTAAAAGGTAATACTGTACTTTTTTAAAGGTACTATTGTACCTTTAACTCAAGCTTGCAGCTTGTTTGTTTCCTTGTTAAATTTGGAAGCTTTGGTGGATAGCTTCACCTTGAGAGGTTTGAAGATGGATGATGGATGAACTAAGTAGGTTACATACTGCAGTACTCAAATTTTATCCCTCTTGATGTCATCTTGGTGCCAAAAAAGGAAGTAATAAATGAGCAAGAATTTTAGCTCTGAGGTGAATAACTACTTTTATTCACTGGCACATTTTTGACTCTGTTACGTCTGAGCATCTACAAATGTTGTAAGGTGTAGATGACCTTGTGTTATTCAGAACTACATGGGTTTTTAGACCAAAGTCTTCAGTGATCAGAACTCTGCCAGATGTCGATAGCTACAGAAGTAATTGTATAATTTAACCCAGCTTTAAACTTACCATAACGGCTGTTTCCAATTCGATGAAAAACCTGCTGTTTTTTGCTTGGTCTGTGGTGCAGTTTATTTACTGTTTTCTCAAATTTGGTAAGACCTTTACAGAATTACTTAAGAGTGTGAGGAACTTGTTTACAGGTAACATTTGAGGAGTTTGTTGCACCAGATTTTGTTATGGTTTTCAGGTTATAGAGGTCTTTGGATTAATCCTTTTGTGAAAAATATATGCTCTTTATTTTGTGGGAAAAAAACAACAGAATATCTATCTATCTATCTATCTATCTATCTATCTATCTATCTATCTATCTATCTATCTATCTATCTGTGTGTGTAAGATCGTATGAAGAAGTTTAATGGGTATTAATAGATTAATACATTAAAACCTTCTTACCGTTCCTGTAATAGTAGCTTGTTCTGCTTCTTCCACTGTTCCTTAAAATCTGAAGAAAACTCGTGCCAAATAGAAAATAATGTGTTGGGAGAGACTTCTTTCTCTCCTGCCTTGGGTTTTACAGAGAACGACACACTCAGCTCCAAAAAGCTAAAGACAAGAAAAAACAAAACAAAAGTATCACTTCAAGACCAAGCCATTACAACAACAAAGTGTTGTGAAATATTGCAGAGCAGTACAAAATCCTAAGCGGAAAATATGTTTCTGGAATAATGCAGTTGAACTGACTTGACAGCAAAATTAAGTTCAAACAAATGATTGTTGCTTTCAAACTCTGGTAAACTTGAAAAGCCAATTTTCATATGAAACACAGTGTCCATGACTTAAACAGAAATTGTTTACTACTGTTACAGAATTCACTTGCCTTCTGTCCTGCTATTTTGGATTCAAAACCTGCTCATACTGTAATTGGTAAAGTGAAAGTGTATTACAAGGAGAACAAGATTCATCTACCAAAAGACAACATGTATATACAAGTGCATGACACATGTTCTAGTGTTAAATGTGGCAGCGATTTGCAATGGATCAATATAACAGACAGGTTGGTCTGTCTTTGTTTGGAGTGTGCTATAGGAACACATTCCTAGCCAGCAGAAACAGAAGCCTGGAGCC